TAAGAGGTTGAGAAGAAACTTTCAGATAGCTCTTTTGAGCTTTTCTCTGCAGGCATTCCAATGTCCATAAGACCAATAGACGAAAAGACATCGGAGCAGAGTAGGCCATTCGGCTCATCACATATGCTCTACCATTTAATGAAATCATTGTCAACCCAAATGTCATACAGTCACAGAATTTGTACAGCACAGAAAGAGACCTTTTAGCTCATCATGACCAGTCATTGAGCATTTGTGGGTGATTAGAGGGGAGATTTTCAAAATTGAAGAATTGGAATCTATAGCAAAAGAGGCAAAAGGTTTTAACTAAATTTAGTGAGCCACAGTTTTCCTAATATCTGGGTAGGTTGCTAAGAAATCCACAGATCGGTCATGACTGTATTTACTACTTAATGTGCTCTGTGGGGTGTTCAACCACTGTTTTTCTGGAAATCCATATTTTTCTCATGTAATTTTGGATGTTAGAATATAAACTCTCTATATTGCAGAGTATTTTGGTTTTTTCCTAATCTTGTATGCTAACGTTTATTTTTGTTTGTTTAACAAGTATGGAATCTTTTGTCCATCCTCGCAGTAAATAAATAAGATGTCAAAATTCCTTTCCTTTAAACAGGAGAGGTTACTGGTCCTTAATCCGATCCTGACATAATTTGATGTTCTTGTTTGTGATCATAACAACCAACAGTGTTATCTGCTACCCTCTCACAATCAACATCAGTGCACACAACAATCATAGCCTGTACTGTTACTGCAATGTACTTCTTTATTTATCACTCAGTCAGTTTAACACTGCTGCATCAAATCATATCAGGTTACAAACAAAGCTGCCTCAGACTCATGACTAAAACTTAAGTATTACCTGCACTGATGAAGATCTGGCCAGGCATCAGTCACTCAACTGGATCTGTCCTTTGCTGAACTCCGAGCTCAGGTCTTCCTTCTCTGAAGGTTGTTCCAAGGTTACGCTGTCAAAGTCTTCAAAACACTTATGTTTTCTCTTGAAATTTCCAGAAAGCTCAACTCCTGTCCGAGACCCTTGTAACTCTAAGATTATCCATTCAAGGACCGTGTAGACAAGTTACATCTGTTTCATGGTTGGCCATTCTGCCTTGGTTACCACGAAGGCCAAGAAGCCCTTAACACCAGATTCCTGCTTAATGAACAATGCCTTCCACAAGAGACCATTGTTCCTGTGAGGTTAGCTCTTTACCCCCATCATCCTTGCAGAAACTTGGCTGTTAACCAATCTGGCACAGTGAAGGAATTAAGATGCAGCAATATAGCTGCAAATAGATGTCGTTGATGTGCTCTGCCTTGCGAAGGTCAATGTTTGTTCATCCTGGAACAAGCATTTAAAACCGAGTTTTAAACCTGGATTATGTGGGGCCAGAATCAATTTGTGGACCTTTAAAAAGGCAGGTGAGAGGCTAACGTTGCACTTTGGTCTATGTTTCAAATTTTGCTGGCGGACAGAATGGGGTCTGATTGATTCTCAGAGAGGTGGGGGGGATGGGGGATATGTCTTCATATCTTCCATATAGTAGGGTCTTGGACTGTAACATGGGAATCACAAATCGATGCAGAAGGTGTGCTCACTCTAGAAAAGCATATGAAATCTGCTCAAGCACTCCCCAGAATCTCCCTGGTCACCGTACCTGTCTTGGGAGGAACTCACCTCCATAGCAAGATCTTTGCCCTGTGGTATGTGTGGAATGGAATCATTCCCATTGCTCCAGGGTCAGGTCTGTTGGTGAGTCCCAGGGGATGCTGTTCAAAAGGCTTGCTCCAGTCCACCGGGACTACATTCTGGTTGTTTCCACAAATACTTGGTCCTGTAGGCCTGCTCCCTCAACACCACACACTCTCCAACAAAGCCAACTCATGTTACTCATGCTCCCCAAGCACCCCAATTGCCCTTCATACCCTCCTGTCAAAACCCTTGACCCGTTAGTGACACCATTGCAAATTATTGTCAACTTTTGCCATCTCTTATGGCAGCACAGACCCCCATGCTAACGTAATAGCAATTCATTCTAATCCTTTACTAATATAAACAGAACTGTATTCAACAACCCACAAAGACAATCAAAATTTTAATTACATATTTGAGCTGTCAATCTCACTGTAAACTTAAACTGAGATAAAAATAAGTGTGGAAAACAGCCTAGCAGTAATACTGACATAATGGTAGTCTTTGGAGTAATCTAAACAAACTGCTATTAGAACAGCTAGAAAAAGATTTATTCTCCGCTCACTGGTAGGCAGCCTTTTTATTCATTTATTTTTGAAGCAGTAGTGATTTAACTTGGGTTTTATTGTATCTCTGAATTCCAAACTTTAAGACCAAAATCATCAGATACTGAAAACTCAATATTTATTTTGGCACATTGTTGTGACCAGGAGGACAGGGCAAAGCTCAAACTCAGCATGGTGACCCACCAGGAATTCCTCTTGCAAGGAAATACATCTACCTAGTTAGGAAGGAAGAGCTTTCAAAAAGGCTTGAAAGCAGATAAGCTTCTGATAAATGAAGAGGATAACAAGTGCCAATACATGGCTATGTGTTACAAATCATTCCGGAAGTCCAAGTTGCCATGGAAACGTGCACTTGTGTGTGTGGTGCTGTCTACAGCTATAGATAGTGATGGTCGAAGCTCCAACTTTCTTACCATCACATACCCAACAAGGAATTATTCCCACTCTTACTGCCTGGCGCTTGTGTATAGTTTAAGGGCCTGCAGGTTGATAATCAGCCTATTTGCCACCAATTAATAGGCCATCAATTCTGGAGTGGAAGTCAAACAAAGAGCTTCTGGTTCAGAGGTTGAGTTGCCACCTACTGTATCACAAGACCTCTCAAGTGGCCAGACAGGAACCAAAACACAGCCAGGAAAAGGGATGTAAACAGTGATTTATGGTTTAGTGAGACAAGGGGCTGGGCAATGCTGATTTAACAAATGCATCTCTTTTGCAGGATTCTTCAAGAGGGGAAGAGTCTGTCCAATGCTAAGAAGCTTAACCAAGGACTGAGGAACTCAGTCAGATATTAACTGAAAAAGGAGTTAACTTTTTGGGTCCACTGAGCCTTCCGCAGGACTTCAGTTCTGAAGAAGGTTCACTGGACCCTGCAACGTTAATTCTGTTTTCTTTCTATAGATGCTGCCGGACCCGTTAAGTTTTTCTCAGCAATTTCAGTTTTTGTTTCTAAATTCCAGCATCTGCAGTTCCTTCTTTTTCTATTAAATGAAAAATATTGCTGCTGACCTCTACCTTGTGCATTATTTTTCCACTAAAATTATGTCCTCACGTATCACGATATTCTTATTGTGTAAATAAGTAAGGTTATTGGGACAAGTAGCCAATAAAATTATTAACAAAGTAATAACTAGGATGGCATAGAGAGTGAATGATGCAATGCATATTTAAAACATGTTAGCTGGGAGAGAGGACAGAATCTTAGGCAACCCAAGTTATTAGATAAAGGATCAAATTGAACTCAACATTGTACAGCTGAAGTAATTTGAAAGGAAATTAGACAGTAGATGGGAGGTGGAATGATTGTAATGTGTGTCAAAGTGTATGTTTTAAATCTTGTTGTAGGCCTTAGGCTAAAACAAAATGATGTACATAAGCATTAAATGACAGAGCTTCTGCAACAAGAGGATAATCAAGTCAAAGCTATGTCATAAACAAAACTGGTGACAGTCTAGACCATTTGGGAGTCCAGCAATGATAATTTGAAAGTGATAGCAGAACTATGAAGAGAGTTTGATACTAACAGAGATTAGTTTATTGGCATCTAATAACAAAGAAAGTCTATAATTTCATCAGGTAGAAGAAACATTTCTAACAGAAATAGATTGACCCATTGCTATTCCAACAGAGATAGTCCTTTCATCGTATAATGGGGCTCATCAATTATTCTGTGACCGCAAAATGGACAGATCTCTTTGCAACTTCCATTGCCTGAGATTATGAGGAAAGTTTATTCAAGGCTTATCTGTTATTAGAAAGTAGGCCTGGACATAGGTGGGTCACAATTGCGATCATCAATCAGTGTTTGTCTTCATTACTCTCCTGAAACTGACAGCAACTTCCAGATCCAACGATGTGCACATTCAAAAAGTTTCCCCTGGTGATTCTCTGCTTTGCAGGGATGTACTGTTGAGCCATCACCAGAATGCAAAGTAGGAATTATTGAACTGACGAGAACTCCTACTGCTCTGATATAAGCTGAATTTTCCAAGAAGCTAGGTAGTCCCATCACCATGACCAAAACCACATGAAGCCCACGTGAGCAGATAGACAGGCATGGTGGCAGTCCCAGGAGCTGCCACCAGTGAAATCTTGCTGTCAGAGCTGCCAGCTCTGTAATAAAAGTAACATTATATATGCTGAATGTGAAATGTCTCTGCTACACAAAATTTCACAAATTTCTTTTCAGAAGATTATTACACTCTAGCTTCAGTCATAATCCAATATATACTGAGCTATTTCACTAACTGTCAAAGTGCAACAATGTTGTGGTTTATACTTCGATTATAATTTATAACTTATAATTTGACTGGCTGTTACCCTGCTTGATGACATCACCATTGCCGGATGCCTGGAGATTCTCTTGACTCGGTGCCAGATCTAAACTGCAGTCGGCAAAGGGGACATCTGTGGCCCAGAGAGCATTACGTCTTTGAAGGTTGGTTTCGACAAAGTTAGCGGTGAGCAATTCCTGGCCGCTGACTATGACATTGAACCCAGTAGGTGTGCACTCAGCCGTGACACTAACATCTTTGGCTGACATAGAATGTGAGCTTACACAGGGAATGATTTGAAATTATTCCTACTCAGCAATCTTGTGAAACACAGATAGGCTCATTTTACCAAGTGAGGCATTAGATACCATTATTTTGTTTAAATGTTATGTGTCAGATGTTTGCATTTGCAAAAGAACTTGTGGCGGTCAACAAACATGTTAGGATTTAATACATAAAGAGTGGGTTTACCTGAAAATTCTGTCTGATGGCTGTTCTCCCAACACCAGATCAAAGCCACGCTGAAACACTGTGTATGGCCAGGGACTACAGAGAAAAAAGATTAAAAGCCAGTTATTTCTCAGTCTATTTTATATGAAAACAAACGCTTCTCCATAATGAGCTTTATTTAAATAGCAGAAAGAACGGCAGCAAAAACAAATTTTTAAATCCCCAGGATACCAAAGAACAGCTTTGTTATCAGTCTATCTACATTTGGTATCTGGAGTGCTGGGGGGAGTACATCAAAATAGATTATAGTTATTTGATGTCATTTTCAAGATGATCACATTTAAATAAACTGATGTATTTGCCGTAGCTCCATTGATTTACCTAGGAGAACAGCAATAAACCAACATGAATACAGTAAAACTGTTGTAGTTAGTGATATCCAAATAAATCCAATGCAATGATCCAAACAATATACATGCAAATTCAACTTAACACTCTTTTTCCAACCAACCTTTCTGCAGAGTCCATACACCACATATCTTAACCCTGCTTTTTGTTTTAAAACCCTTTGTTTTAAAACCCCCAATCTGGCAATGGTCACAGTTTACAGCTAATTAACTCACAACCAATTCCCAGTCACCCTTGGCATCACCAATGTCATTGACTAGAGAAGCTGGATACCAGTAAAGGTAAGATCAAGCCAAAAAAGCAACTAAACCACAACACAGCTATGGATTTGATTTTGAGCTTTCTTTTGTAGATGATCAAAAGCTCGTAGCACAACTACCACTGTGAAGAACGGACCTTGGATACCTAATTTCCATTTTACACAGTTCTGGTAAGTCCATTCAAAACTGGACAAGTGGTAATCCTGAGGTTAACAGAATTTCCAAGGATGATGTCGACATTCATGTTTTATATCAGTCCGTGTCTGCTTGCCTCATTATGGTTTAATGCATTTTTCCAGGACTTACACATAGCGTTATAGAGGTCTACAGCACAGAGAAAAGCCCTTTGGGCCATCACATCTGCATCAGTACTTGAATACATAATGTGATTTGTTAATCCATTATCTTACTGTACATTTGGACTACTGGACCAGGAAAGACTCCATCCTTCTGACGAAATATTAACCCACTCTCCTATCAGCTTGTCCTAGTGATTCAGATGGACTTAAAAATTTCTTGACCCAATAGCAAGGGACTCATGGTGAACAATCTTCATTGAGGCACATTTAAAGTTGACCTGCACTGGCATCAACAAAATAATGGAGACTGAGACAGTCATGGAGTTCAAGAGGAAACAAACAAAGATCACTCAGCATATTCCCTACTGCTTGAACATCTTGTCACATCTACAGTCCAATAGGTATGATGATTCCCACATGTCATTACACTTTAAAGTAACTCATTACATGTAAATTAACTTGAGACAACTCTAACAGCTGTTACAAAGGCATTATACAAATGCAAAGTACTATCATTGCTGGAGATCAGAAATTAAAATAGAAGTGTTTGCTTAGGAATAAATGACTTCTGTCACAAAATAAAATGAAAATATTATTGAGGAGAAAAGAGAAATATGCAAAGTTAACCACAAACATTAAAATACATACTAATAGCCAATATAGTGCAGATATGCCTAACCTAAGGCAAACTAGAAAGAAGAAAAACTCTTGCACAGCAACTTTAAAAACATTGTTTCTTGTGTGTGAACTGCTATACAACCAGAAGTCCTTCCAGATAAAACTAATTTGGTTAGAATATGAATAACTTATTTGCAATTCTACATCTTTAAGATAGAGTGGAAGTGGTTTAGAGCTGACAAATGAATGACATTTAAAGGGCTTTTACGTATGCAAATATACGCAGAAAAAAGTGTTGTTTCTTTTCCAAATGCCCTCTTTGAGACCAAAGGGTGCCAACTCCAGAAAACTATAATCCAACAAACATATTAAGTGCATGTCACCAGTAACACTTAAGACCTAGCTTGAAATGACAAATAAAAAGGCAGATCCAAGATGATCTATCCATCAACATCAGATACCAAGTATCTAACTATTGTTAGCTAGACTTTTGTCACTCACCAATTCAATGCATTTCTACAATTTTGCAGCCCTTTTGCATGCTATAGATAACAGTCAGCAGAGAGCCTACACTGGTGAGGACTAGTCAACCTAATGCACCTTGGTGCCCTGGATATATAGCTGTGGAACCAGTCTTCATGTATAAAACCAGGGGATGATTATCTGCAAGTAAATTTGACCACCGAGTATCCAACAGCAAAACATGGTCATGTTTCTATGGCATAGACATGCAAGTATTACCTGGAAGTTTAAACTGGTGAGGTTTTGAAGCAAGCATCTTGGTAAAAAGCTGTAAAAATTTAGTCTGCGGTGGCAAGGCTGAGAAGGAAGTTTTGATCATAGCAAGTCTTGCAGCAACTAATTTATCATCTTCCATTCAACAGTTATCACCCTGAAGGACTTTTTTTATTCTTTCATGAGAAGTAGCCATTACTGTCAAGGTCAGCATGTGTTATTCATCCCTAATTGCCCTTGCAAAGATGGTGGTGAGTTGCCTTCTTAAACTTCTGCAGACGGTGTAGGTGCTCTAACGGAGTTTAAGGCATTTGGCACCATGACGGTGAAAGAAAACTGGTACACTTCCAAGTCAGCACGGTGTGTGATTTGAAAGGGAACTCGCAGGCAGTGGTGTTCTCATGTATCTGTTGCTCTAGGCGTTAGCGGTCAGAGGTTTGGAAGGTGTCATCAAGGGAGGTTAGATGAGTTGCTGCAGTGCATCTTGCAAATGAAATGAATCCTTAAGGTGATGGACAGGCTGCCTATCAATCAGATTGCACATTCAACTAAAGGTTCATGACTGAGATATATTGAAGTACGGATTTAGAAACTGTTGATTGGTCCTTGTCATTACCTGTTTAACATTAAATACAATTAAAGATCTATGTCAAGGTAAAGTCCTCATAGTCCGAGAGGACCACAGGGCTGCTCTGCCCTCAGTAAGAGAGCACTGGTGATGGTTTAACCTGAGGGTCTCCACGTCTCAGGCGAGGGGATGGGGTTGAGAAGGTGGGACCTTTGTGGTGACCTCAGCTGGTACAGGAACTGAATGAGTGATCTATAAAATAACAACCTACATAAGTTAAAGTACTTTTATTATCGGTTGTGAAAATTATTTTACTCAAGAGAGCAATACTTTAATTCTCTCAACACAAACCATTCATGCAAAACAAAAATCTCTGTGCATGCAGTACAGATGCCTCTTCCTGTCCTTCAAGAAATTGTTTTGATAGTTTATTTTTTGTGCACTTCCACTGCATGACAGATCTTTCATATCTGAAAAAGCTGGGATGGGCAGGGAGGGCAGTTCCTGGAACATAAAAACCAAAAGAACTGCGGATGCTGTAAATCAGGAACAAAAACAAAGTTGCTGGAAAAGCTCAGCAGGTCTGGCAGCATCTGTGAAGGAGAAAACAGAGTTAACATTTCGGGTCCGGTGACCCTTCCTCAGAAGAGTCTGAGGAAGGGTCACCAGTTCCCGGAGCATCCCAGCCAAGGCTTTAAATATTCAATTTCTTTGAACATTTTTTAAAAAAGCTCTTTGGAGATTTCTCAACCTCAATCTCTTCACAATTCTACTTGAAGCCTTGAGCATTCCTATTTCAGGGTCTTTCCAGCAGGAATTGTCCTGATCATTAGCAATGTTTTGGTATTGGGTAGGTTCATCAACATTCTGTAAGATGCACAGCACAGTCTTAATAAGTAATAAATAGTAAAATAAAGAAGCTCAAGCACCCAGATCCTCACCAAACAGAACGCATGACTATAGAACAGCCAAGATTCTGAACCTCCCGAATGGGATCAGATCAAGAGAGCCAGTTACAAGAATCCCTGCACTTATCATCAAACCCACAATCTCTCAGTATTTCAGTTAGCTTTGAGATTTAGCGTTTTACTGTACAAAATGATGTGACTCACTGCTGACTGCTTTTTCTTAGCAGCAGGATATTCTCTCCAGCTGCAGTGAAAACGAAGAAGAAATGACAAAGCTAAGGTAAAATTTGCCAGTACCTGTGGTGGTAAGTGGTGTCCATGTGCAAAAACCACCCAACATCAAGAAATGACATGATGAACGAAGAAATTAAGTACAAAATAAATATACTATATTAAGTAATTCCAGTATAATTGGTTTAATTAGGAATGGAAACTTGCCTGAATTCTCTGTTAAAAGGTGTGGGAAATTGTCTTCCCCAGTTGACTGTACAGTTTACCACACTGAGTAACCACAAAGGATAAATTCTGGGAGATTTTTGATTATGCTTTTACCATCAAGCCATTTGCAGATAACATAAATAGATTACAAAGGAAGGATGAACCATATCAAATATGCAGCATAGAGTCCAGTTCCAAGGATTCTTTTAGATGAAGGAAGAGGTGCTGATTGGGTAGTTAACAAAATAAAAAAAGGGTCTTACTGAGACACTGGGAGATAGCGAGATCTGACAATCGAAGTCTAGGATATTATTAAAAATTTAGTTAGTTTAAGCTATTCATTTTCAAAAGGGGAACAGATTTTATTTTAGATCAGTCATAGGCAGCTGAGGCCTTTTGTTTACAACTCCTGTACCATGTTACAACTTCAGCATCTGCCATGTGTATCTTGGGGGAAACTATCTGTTTAGATTGTGTCTCCAGCTACTTGATCATGTGGTCAGTTTTTCCAAATTGGTGAAACTGCAGAGAGTCAGGGAGGCTGACTACCTCCTGGATCTTACAATATAGCAGGCTGGCCACCGCACAGGGCAAGGGTTGGTTTGGATATTATATGGGTAGTCAACCAGAAATGGCAGGAAGCACAGGAGACTTTGGGGGAGGTGCCAATCTCAAATTGGTATTCAGCATTGGAGATTGCTCAGAATGATCAAGTCTTGAAGGTAAACAGTAAAGACCATTGGAACAATGGGCAAGGGACTGCACAGGACAGAGCAGCAAAGCAAAACAATGTAGTTATTCTAGGCAATGTCACAGCTACATGAACTGGCAAGTTCTTCAGTGGCTGTCATCTTGTCTCACA